AAGAAAAGGAGAAAAAAAAAAAAAAAAAAAAAAGGGAGGGAAAGGTACCTCGATACATCGCTCTCGTTCGGCCGAAATTCTGTGTCGAGGCCGTGCGCGTAGAGCGGTGAAATGTTGCGGGGGAGCCTGGCTGGGCCTCGGGTGGCTGCCCCGGCCCCTCAGGAAGGGAACGCGGGCAGCTCCCGTCCTGCAGCAGCCAGGGGGAGCGGGACTGAATGAACTCATTAGTGATTTTCTTTTAATTGGTATTGCCCAATGCCTTTACTTTAAGAAGCCCTTAAGATTTTTTTTTCCCGGTGTATTGTAAGATAATTTGTGATCAAGACATCTGCTTCAATGAAAGTCACATTTTGCCATGCAAATGCACGTTTCAACCCAATGAAGTCGCCATAATAAGGCTTTTAGTACGGCATACCTACAGTGAGGTTATTGTAGCCAAATCCTCTCCTTTCGCACACAGGCTTAATCTATGCTGAAACGAGCTGTTACAATTAAAATGACATTTACAGAGACAGTTACACCTTGCATCCTAATGAATCCGCCCGCGCCTACCGAAGGTGTTTAACAGAGGACCCGAGCAAAGTGGCAAACCCTGCTCCGAGTGGCATGCCAGAACCGCCCGCAAACTTTTATCCTCGGCTTCCATCCATCATTAACAAACTGCTCAAACGGCGATCATCCCTTACCCCTCTTGCACCACACCAGTACATTCCTTTCCATTTTTTTTTAAGATCAAAACAAAAGTTATAGTGTCTGATGGGTATGTAAAAAAAAATAAGGTGACGGTTGGTGTAAAGTTTTTTTTTTTTTTTTATGGAGGGGGGAAGTGCTGGAAGGGATTTCTTTAAAAAAATGCGCGGACATTGTTGTAGAGGCAGCAGCGTGCGCCGAGGGGAGCTCTTTCTCTCCCTCGCATTGTGCGGGGAGCAGGTGCTGTCTACATTACCATACAGCTGAGAGCACAAAGAGCCAACTGATTCAGCCCTCGCACAATAACAAACGGCCTTAATGACAGCCACGCGAACGACACACACCAAACTCACTTTTTTTTTTTTTTTAACTAAGCTGAAGGAGGAGGAAAAAAAAATAAAGGAGAGAGAGCAGAGAGGTTGTTGGTGATGATGATAATAATCATACGGGAGCGCGGAACCCGGCGGAGCGG